TCTCCCCAACTCGTACGTGATATGTACCCTCTCTACTTTTGAAATTTGAAAAACCCCGACCAGTATCTCTCTAGCCCGTACGAGCCGTCTCACTCGACATAATAACTAGGACACTTGAAAAAACTGGCTACTTGAAAAAACTTGTGTGACCATATGTTCATTCCCCAATAGCCATCTTTTTCCTTTCAACCACTCCTACAAAACCAACTTCACGTCTGCCACCTCGTGAATAGCTTCCATAAATTACCACTAACCCCCTACTTTTTCCCCTTCTGGAATAAATAATCTATTGGCTTTCCCATTTAATCCTTCTTTACCTTCCGAGAGAACTAGGAATTTTCGTATCCTTTTTCATTTTTGAAAACACGGACCCCTTGTCTCTCCTCCACCACATCAAAGGATTTATGTTTAATAACAAGAAATTTACGTCGGCCCACTGGCATGGTCAGTCAGGGGTCTGTTGTCCTAGGACGACCTACTTGGTGAATCAATGCAAAACGAAAACATTAGGAAGGAGAGAGAGAGAGAGAGAGAGAGAGAGAGAGAGAGAGAGAGAGAGAGAGAGAGAGAGAGAGAGAGAGAGAGAGAGAGAGAGAGAGATAGATGTTTAATAACAAGAGATTTACATCGACCCACTGGCATGGTCAGTCAAGGGTTTGTTGTCCTAGGATGACCTACTTGGTGAATCAATGCAAAATGAAAACACTAAGAAAGAAAGAGAGAGAGAGAGATGTTTAATAACAAGAAATTTATGTCGGGCCACTAGCATGGTCAATTAGGGGTTTGTTGTCCTAGGACGACCTACTTGATGAATCAATGCAAAACGAAAACACTAGGAAAGAAAGATAAAGAGAGAGAGAGAGAGAGAGAATTTTTTTTAGAAAGAAACAAAAATAAAGATACACCAATGTGTGAGGTATTATAATGTCAAAAGCACTTGTAGTAGAAAATATTAAATAAAAATATATTAACTCTCAATGAAAGGAATTAACAACTGAAAATGAACTTGGGGAAAGAGAAGACACTTGAAGAGAAAGTAGAAGACACCTATCCAAAGAGAATGTACGAGAGAAGGAAGAAAGATAATTTCTTTCCTTAGATAGGAGAAAGGAAAATGAAGGATAGCATTTTAAAACATTAATAATAAGATCTTAACTACATTATTTTATCAATCAATTTATTTCTTTTAAACACCGGGAAACCAAATTGTTGCTTAGAAAAATTGTTGGCTTAAGATTACAAGCCAGAGCAAATTGTTGGCTTTCATCATAAAATTACAGGTTGGTTAGAAGTTGCTCTATTATAAAAGTAAGACTTACGTATTTTCCAATTAGGGCAACCATCATTGCCTTCAAGTAAACATTCAATATAAAGCAGGCTACTATCATCATGTGTAACCGCTATACAAGAATTTTTAACGAAAAAAATTTAAAAATGTTCATCGAGCTATATGATTATATATTCAACACTGTTTGAAGATCTTTGCTTAAGTCCTCCAGATTGATTACTGGTGTCCTGATCCTTTTAAGCTCTAAATTTAATTCTGCCATCTGCTTCTGTAATTTTGCTCCCTTATCCGGCAATCTCGAAACAGTGATCTGTACATGAAGAATTTAAAATTCAAAACAGATATTACATTAATATCAGATAATCATAAAACCAAATTCACAACATGTGGTTAAAAAAAGCAATACCTCATTAACCAATGTTATAAACAAGCAATGTATTCCCCTCTTTAATTTCACTCTTTGTCAATTTATCACCCTTAAATCCAATGTTTTCCATCTTTTATCTAAAAGTACTTCTATTTTTTGTGTTTGGTTAGACTTTTGCTTGTTGACAGCAGAAGTAGAAGTAAGACCAAATAGACACTTAACTATACCCAATAATCATGAAAGCAGACTAACGATCACGTGGTTACACAAAGGAATACCTTGTTTTCTAACGTTTGTGACAAGCGACATATTTTCTCTTTAATTTCACTCTCTGTCAATTTATCACCATTATCTGGTGAAGAACTTTTCATGATCAATTTTACGTCCTTTGGGTGGAAAGCATATTGAGCACTGCAAAGAATGTCAGCAAGTTAGTGATACATATCCAGCGTGGTAACAAGATGTAAATAACTTCATAAGACTAACAATCATCCAAGCCTTACCCATCAATTTTATGTTCAACTGGATGACTTGTTGAGGAATGCCCCACGAATGTAGTCCTTTTCATCCTGGGTTGCAATCAAAGAGTAAATCAGGCCAGGTCTTATAGAATAAGAGATAATGCTTGCGCAGAGTAGTTCCCGAGTTTTCAATTGCATGCAGACATACTGTTAGGATTTCTGGTTAGGGATTTAGTTATGGGTCTGAACAAGGTAAATCAGTTGAAGGCAAGAGAATTTAGTTGTTTTTTCTTCCTTTATGACCATCATTAAAGTGAAATGGGCTCGCTGGGAGAACTCAAAGATGTCTTGATTTATAAAAGAAAACTCAAACTTATAATCTGGAAAAAGAATTCTTTTGTTCATTCCGCTGTAGCCTTTTTTAAAGATCTATTGAATTACATAATAACAGCTACCTTATGGATAGAAACTGTTGCTTAAAAATAGCTAGCTGTCTTAAAAAAAATTCAAACATACTGATCCTTGGAAACTGACAAATCCAGACAACAACCAACATTTAAAAGTTGGACTAGAAGTGATGAATCATAAATAAATAAATAAAAGTTAGTAGGTTGATAATTTTCCTGCTTGTCATGTTAATTGGACTAGAAGGGATGTAGGACAAGTTGGATTAATTGCCTACTTAAGAATTTTAGAATAAAAACTTAACCATTACACCTAAACTTTCTTAAATGTTGTGTATATGAAGTTTTAAGCATCACTTAGGCTTTAATTGCATCGAACAACAAGAAAACTAAGAGAAGTATCATAATATTTTATTGAATAGCTGAAATCTATTTCAAAAAGTAAAATTAGGAAGATATTTCTAATCCTTTAAGTAACATTTTCTATAGATGGCTAGATTTAAAAATAGTAACACTAGTAAAATTTTGAAAATGCGACTACTAACAAAGAATACGAAAGCTAAATACTAAAAAAAATAAAACTATTATAATTTCTAATCTATTTCTAAATAATATACCAAATTATAATTTCTAATCTATTTATGCAATTTAGGATTTACCCATTCTGCATCAAGAGCTGTGTAAATTCGTAAAACATACAAACCCTACTCATCCACCCACCTCCCTCCAGCTAATTTAACTGCCGTCCAGAATAATAGCTAAAGCTTGATGCATTAAAATTTATAAAAACAGAAATTGGGATATGGCACAAACTTTGTATGAGAAACTATCTAAGCTAACAAATGTGGGATAGTTAGGTGAGTTAAAAAGTAAAAGTAAAGCCTAGCATTTAGATAGAAGTACAGATTCTAAACATGCTAAAAGTGCACAATGAAATGTCAAATATTTATGAACATTCATTTACCAGTAGAATTAAGAGAGAGGCCATGTCAAATAGCCAAAGGTAACTTACAAAACAAAGTAAAATAAATGTTTCACCTTGTATCTACCTCCTGTACAGCTTCTACAGGGGAAGTCTTTGAGAAGAGTAAACTGTGGTGACTAACTCCTGCTATCCCTTGAGTTTCCAGAAACCTTATGTGGGCTTCCAGAGCCTCATCCCTACATGAAAAATTGATTATTAATTACAATTTGAAAATTAAGTTGAATATGCTGACAAGCTTGGTCACGCATGTACATCAGAAAGTGCACAACAAGATGTTATACGCTACATGATATCACAATGCTGCACAGTAACTAATGTATTCAAGCCTAGAAACTACTTTTGCATATCTTATACAAAAAATGGGTGAATTAAATAGAATATTTGAGTTGAATTACAGCTGGGACTATTATTTCAAAGACAAAATCACAATTTAATCTTTCATAACAAAAGATATCAGTCAGTTTCAATCTAGTCTTTTTAAAAGACATTAGCTGATAGTTTAATATGTTTGATATGATAATAACAATAATGATGCTTAATAAATGCAAAACAGTAAGGATTTTACTTTATATGATAAAGAAGAAGCAAATGCAAGTGTGCTAGAATTACTAAAAGTATGCTTGGGAAAATATTGTCATTAAACAGTTCAAAAATGTTTGTCTTTTGGAAGGATAGAGCATAAATATAACAAACTATTGATGATTCTTATGTGATTTACCCATAAAACAAAAGGATCATGAAAAAAAATTTATTAATGTCAATTTCTAACAATTGCAGGCAGGAAAAATAAATATGCAAAATTTATAACCATTTGTTATTACTAAGCAAAACATGAAGCACTGCCTAGTTGTTCTTGCAAAATAGTTTATTAAATACATGAAGAAAGAAGTTGATGGTATCAGATGCAGCCATAATATCCATACATTTTATGCTGGGAATCATGCTCCTCATGTAATTGCTGCTGTGTGGGTGAAACATCGAAGCCATGTTTTGGCAGACTGAAAAGCTCCCGTAGGTCCTAATAATATAACATAATTAAGTCGAGCACATATCTAAATGGGTAGATAAAAAGACAATCTGTCAAGAAAGAAGTATTTCTTATTTATTTTGAAGTATACCTGTTGACTGAAGTAACGGATCTGTTCTTTGTGCTCAGTTGCAGTTCTAAAAAGTCCGCCCTTGAATATCTAGACCAACAAAAGATCACTCCATCAAGTAAGTAACTTCTAATATAAAGATAGTTAACATCATATTATCAGACATACAAGAAAAGAAGCATATTGAGACTTCTAATAGAGAAACTACTCATGTGAATACACCTTAGAGGCCAAAATAAGGGCCTTCGCACATAAAAAATCCAATAATTAGTTAATCTGAGCCATAAAACATTTTGAAATCATTTACAGTTTCTTGATATTAAATATTCTAATGAAGCAGCTTGACATTAGATGAGCTGCTGTGACTCACCACTCAGTTAGCACTTTTTAGACCGCACTCAGTAGGGCATAACTCGGAACTGGCCATTTGTTCCTTAAATTTTAGTTTTCTCCTTGCACTATAACTACATGCAAGGACACATCAGAAGCTCAGCCAACTGGCAGTTTAAGAGGTTCCATTAGTATTCTGAGCATAATTACCAAAAACACCATTTATCCGGATTATGGTACAAGGTACAGGTGCAAAATATCGTAGATGCTAAATTTAGTTACAAAGGTGGATAGGCTTATTTGGTTCACTGTTCTGATTCAAATTTCCAATAAAACCACTTATTAGGTTTATTATTTGGCTTATAAGTAGTAGGTCAATATTACATTCTACTCTATGAGAACGGAGGCTCAGCATCCTGATTTCTGGTTCCTACATGGCACAATATGAATTATCATATGACTTTTTATATTACTCAGTTAACAGGAACATAACTTGGAACAGGCCATTTGTTCCTTATGGCAGAAACATAACTGCAAACTGGGAAGTACAAGCAACGCTCACATCAGAACCTCAGCCAACTAGCAGTTTCAGAGGTTCATTTAGGCATCATCAGTACTATATAATATCATTTGAATTACACCAGAGCACCACAAAGCAGTAAAGGATCCTAGACCTGTTTTCTGTAGATCTTCTCTTCAACAGTCCCACATGTCATTAATCTGTAGACAATTACATCCTTCTTCTGGCCAATTCTATAGGCCCTATCAACACTCTGGTTATCCGTACTGCAAAAATCATTGACCCATTAGATTCAGTTGCATTCTCAAGAAGCAGAACAAGCTAACTGAAAGCAGAATAGCCTAACCAGAAGCAAGTAACCATCAATCTCATAAGCTGCATAGTTTTTTGTAAGCTTTTTTATCCAAAACTACAACAGAAAAGATACATAAATTTTCAAAAAAAAGTTCATTTGCCTGGCTGAGCATAAGAAAAATAGATCATATTCATCCACGAATATGGCAGTGATGTTTACCAAGTGATGAAAATGCAACATTCTAAGCTTTAGTAAAAAGAGCTCACATGAGACAATGTGGCATGACGACATAAAAAATGATATGGTGCAGAGATAGGATGCATTAAAAAAAGTTTAATAAATCCATAATCTAACATAAAATTAAACCATGTTGGATAAGAATATCTCTTAAATTACATTAGGAAGTTAAAAGTTCAGATTAATCAATCAGAAAGAAATGCAGCTAAATTTGTTGTGCTGGAGAAGAGTTATACACTGTAATAGATAGGTAAGTATTTTGCAATCTTATTGATATGAGATCATACTTTCATAAATCCATTCAACACATATCCTTCTAATGTTAATATTGAATAAAAATGAGGAAATATTATATTTTTGTTCATATTATGAAAATTATATTATGAAAGATATTTGCGATGGCAGAAACAATTAAAGAAAAATGGTATTCATCCATATCATCTGTATGGCCACCTTCCAAAACTTTTAAAAATTTATCAACCGGATGTGAAAGGACACTAATTTTTTTTTTCTGGTAAAAGAATATTACTGCAAAGAGAAGTTAAACAGAAAACTGTTTCAAGAGAAGTTAAACAGAAAGCCAAAATAAACCCAAAATTATAATTGAAAAGATGGAAACTACATGTGAAACAATAATTCAATGTCATTTAAAAAAGAAATCTTTTTATTCCAAGGAAATGAAAGATAAAGGCAGGCACCTTGGATTCCAAGCAGGATCTACCACAATCACTCGATCAGCTTTTGTGAGTGTGAGGCCAAGGCCACCAACTTGAGATGTCAAGAGAAATATAGGAGCCCCATTACCATCTTGGAATTCCTGAGGAGAAAGGGAACAAGAAAACCATGTGATAATTAATTAAAACTGTCAGTTAACAGCTGTCACAGATCTTTTCCCAGTTCAATTCCATACAATACTTACATTTACAATCTTCACTCTGTCTCTGGCATTTGTGGTACCATCAATGCGCAAGAACTTGTAGCCATTTGATGCTAGAGAATCCTATACTCAAAGTTCATCCATAATTTAATCCAGGGTGAAGGAATAAATAATTCAGAGTAAAAAAACAAGTAACTAAGGAAAACACTCATACAACAAAAACAAGTCCTTGTTCAGAAATCTACTGTTTAATTTAACAGGACAGTTTGAATTTTAGAAGCACAAACAAAAGAAAAGATTCTTAGTTAAGAATTTGAACATAGGGATCTATGCATAAGAACTTAGAGCCATTTGATGCTAGAGTATCCTATATTCAAAGTTCATCCATAATTTAATCTATGCTGAAGGAATAAATAATTCAGAGTAAAAAAAAATGCAACTAAAGAAAACATTCATACAATACAAGCCAGTCCTCCTTGTTCAGAAATCTACTAATTGATTTAACAGGATGATTGGAATTCTCAAAGCACTAATAAAAGAAAAGGTTCTTAGTAGAATTTCAACATCCAATACATGTTTCCTAAAGGCTAAAATAAAACATTGACCTTTTTCTACTATGACAACTTGAATAAGTAGATTTGGGCACGTAAAATAGTGCACACAAAGGAAACTACCCAAAAACTGGCAAATAAAATATTATGCGAAGAGAACAGGTAATTACTACAGAATTTAGATAAATATGGTCCTGACCCAATAGTTAGGGATCTAGCTTAGATCAATTTACAGAGAAGCTGTGATGAATATTGGTAGTGTTTTCCAAGACTTGTATCCTATCCTGTTTACTCATTAAAGAGAACTATTCAATCTATAGAGTTTTTATGAACTCAAGAACCTTGAAACAAACTGTCTAGTTATTCCATGTAAAAGAGATCACAGCTGATATTAGACAAATCCAAGAAACAATCCATTTTTTGGTTCTAAATTTGCATGGCAAGAAGTATCAAATAATAAGTTGTTTCAAAATCACATTTGCATACCAATCTTCACTCAATGCAATAGAACTTCTGTATTATGAAGCTTCATTGGATACAAATGTAACTCTTACACTCTGAAGCTTTTGTTATTAAATATTAAATTCGGCCATGAAAATTTTGAAGATGGGAATGGGCCAAACATTAGACTGCTAAAAAATGTTAGAAAAGTCAAATATCATGGTCTAGAACAAACCTGAATGAGATTAAGCATTTTACGAGTTTGTGAAAATATAAGAACGTGATGTCCTTGTGGAATTAAATTATCCTGTGAAGCAGCAGGTAGCATCACATCTAGTCAATTAAATATCTTATAATGAATATGATCTCTCTTAATGTATACCAGCACAAAAATGAGTAGGGATTCCTTACCAATAGTGATGATATGAAAGATATTTTGCATGAGATGCTATCGTGCTTCTCCTGAAAATCTTCTGATCCAGTTACATCAGCTATGTGCATTGCCAGTTTTTCCGCCAAACCAACTTCTTCTGGATTTAGCATTGAGTCAACAGAATCCATCCCATCTAGTAAATCTTCAGCTGCTCTTTTTGTTAAGAGTAGTGGGTGATCACATATTTTCTTCAGAATCTGCTTTAAACAACTTGTAACTGCTTATTACCACATCAAAACTGAACTATTCTAGAGAAAAACAAGCAAAACTTGAAAATACAGTAGTCCTACATCGTTTTGGTGTGATATTGCAGCTGAAAACAGCTAGCAAGTATTATTTTCCCCAAAAGTATGGCGAATATTTCCATTTTTTCTTCTTTCATTTAAAGTTAATAAAAAAAAACTCAATTACACCTGATCGGTAGTTCAATGGTTTACTACTCTCCTTGGGGAGTTTATGGTTGCAAATTCAACTCATAAAAGCGCCATGGGCCACCAAAAAAGTTTATAAAAGAACAAGAAAGGAAAACTCTCTAGCCAGTAACCTATTGGTTAAAGAGTTCTTATATAAGCAGATTTTAACCTTACCTACAAAATGATGTAAGAATGGGGGAAATAAAAATAAAGAATCTAATTACCAAAACAGTATAGATCAGACAGAGAAACAACAAAACTTCGGGTCATTCCTCTAGCCCATAGAGACCCAACATATCATTCATCATTATAGTAGCCTCCAGTTTTAGATTTTTCTACAAAAGACAACTTCTAGTTAAAAAGTAATTGCATACTATCAGGCCTACAGTTTTTACATCATATATTCTAGAGAAGAAGAAATTTTCAATTTCTTAAAGTGCTGTATGAGCAAAAATTTTAAAATTAAAAACCAAAAGAGTACCGTAAGTGCAGCAAGTGGTGAGCCATCAAATGCAGAAAGAACGAGCTCACTGTTAAGGAAAGCTTCATATAGGTGTCGCTGCACCAGAGGAATAACAACCCTGAGACAAGATTGTTCAGATGAAACTATAATTATAGATTAAAAAATAATTTTAGCAACTTGAACCTGACAACTTGTTAATCTTAGCCACACAATGATTTCATTCTTTTTGGAAAGTTTAGCTTCCCCTGCAGCATCTTCACAAAACACCTCAGCTTTTAGACGACGCAAAAAGTAGGGTTGAATCCGTTCTCTTAGTTCCTTTTATATAATAAAAACAGGACAAGATCATCACTTTCTTGCAATTTGATAAGCATAACAGCATTCGGATGC